CGAGACTTCCAGCCAGGCTCCCTTGAGGCCACATCTCGTTTTACCCAGAAAACCTTATGCCTTAAGGACCTGAGCCTTGTCAGGGTCAAATCGGTTTTTGCATGTGACTCACCTCTGTACTGTAGAATGGGGAGAAAGCTGAGGGGGAAATATAGCTGCAACTGTAGCTCCTGCAGCTGTACCTCCATTGCCATTTGCAAGGCTTCTGTGCCAAGAGATTTGTCTCTTATGCTTGCCACACAGGCCTGTGAAATAGTGTGTGCTTGGTGCAGGCTTCTGAGTCGTTCTGAGTATTTGGGCTCTGAGATGATCAACAAAAAGGTTCATCTTTGCTTTCTCAAATGCCTTGCAAAATAAGGCAGGAGGTCGATGGACATTTGGGTGTTTATTAGACAGATGAAAGGATGGATGGACGTAAAGATGGATGGGGTGGATAAAATGGATGGATGGATGGATAGACATTCTCAATATTATCCTTAAGGACTCATCGTTGATCAAGAACTTACTCTATCTAATACCCCCTCATTTTCTTATTGCTCTATCTGCTGCTCTCCTGTATTTGCTTTCAGATTTGTTCTGAATCTCAACCTTCCACTCCATCTCCAGCAGACCTTCTTAAATCTTACCCTGCTTTTCACAACAGCCTGGCTAACTCCACTCCCCACCCGCCCACCCCCATCCCCCACCCAGTGCCATTTCTTCTTCTTTGCTATGACTAGGATCATTTTCCTTAAAGAACTGACCATGTCACTGTCTGCCATGTCCCTTCTTCCTCCGCTTCCCATTTGCCTTCAAGATTTAAAAAAAAATCAGAGATAAGATCTAGAATCCTACAAGATAGAGCTCCAGATTGCTTATCCATCCACCCAAGCCCTCTACTGCAAACACACCAGAACTCTTGCCATGAAATATGAACCCATTGCAGCACTGCATTTCCTGACTCCATAAAAACTGGTCCAGTGCCATGCCTTCTTTCTGAACCTCCCTTGTTTCCCCCAATGAAAGCAAACGTGGCCAGCTGTCGTAAAGCACAGTTGTAATCCCAGCACTGAGAAGGCTGAAGTAGGAGGATCACAAACTTGTCTGGCTTTGACTACATACATAGCCAAACCTTGTCTCCATGCAAGTAAAATGAATAGATGGAAAAGATTAAGATACATAAAAGGAGGTTGGTTATAAAGATGTAAGGGCGGTGATAGTATAAGAGTGTGGAGATCATTTTTCTGTGCCTTTATAATATTGTTCTCCCTACCTGTTTGACCCTTCAAGGCCCAGCTGAGCTCTGCTGTGGTTATTTATTATTGAGCCTATGGAGTTAAGACACTTTGTTTTGGAGGTTCCCACAATCATGTGGAATATGTGTTCTGATCTGATTGCAAGATCCTTCCACACAAAGGCAATGTCTTTTGTTTTAACCTACACTGTGCCCTGTTATATAATAGAAGCGTTGCTCAAAACCCATTTGTGGACGAGCCATTGGGACAGTCCGGTGGTAGGCTCTGTTATGACGCAGTTCCTGGAGAGCTCATAGCACTGAAGGTCTGAGACAGACAGAAGCACACAGCAGGAGCCTCAGTAGAAGGCGGCATCAGGACACTGAGTGTGGCCAGCCTTTTCACATAGCGAATCATAGCAAAGGCAGAGAAGCCCTCCCACTGAACGGATATCTGAGTCAAGTCCTAGAGCGTACATGTTTTCACTTTCTCACATGTTCATTATGTCTGCCCTGCTCCCCTCATACTCCATAGTATTATTGAGTGGCCAAGGGCAGAAGACCAGAGAGTTCTTAAGCTTTGGCTAGTGGCTCCCAGAAGATAATCTAATGAACAGATAGTAGCCAGGCACTGGTGGCTCACAGCCTGTCATTCCAGCTATTCTGGAGGCTGAGATCTGGAGAACCATAGTTCAAAACCACCCCAAGGAAAAGAAAGTTCACACAGCTCTATCTCTAAAACAGCCAGCAAAAAACCCAGCAAAAGGCATTGCTCAAGTTAGATCACTAGCAGAGAAAGCACAAGACCTTAAACTCTAACCTCAGTACCAGCAGGATAAAAAAGGACAGTTTGTTTTTTTTCCGGAATGTAATTTTGATGAATATTTCTAGTTTTGCTTCCAAAACCTGGAGCCTGTAAACTGCCAACAAATCAGCAGATCTTTGAAGCCGAAAACAAACTACTCCATGAAGACAGAAGTTTGACAACTATAAAGATATAAGAGCTTTTATGTTTTCACTTAACAATCAGAGAAGAGATGTACATTAGAATATAAATAGCTGGGATGCACAGATGAAAATAAACAATACTGAATCACGATTTACCAGTGTTCTGCAGTATGATGTGTAGAGGAATTGAAAAACGGAGAGTTTGGAATTGTTTGTCTGTTGGTGCTGTGGTTTCGACTTAGGACCTCTTTCTTGCTAGCAGACACTCTGCCACCTTAGTGATACCAGCCAGGTGATTTTTGCTTTAATTATTGTTTTATATTGTTCCCATCATCTTGTGTTCTATTACAGAAGTTGGCCTCAGATCATCTTCTTGTACCTTTCAAACGCCTGAGATTACAGGCATGTACTACCCTGCCTGGTACTATAGGAATTTTTTTTTAAGAAAGTACTTTGTGTTATGATAGACAATGAAAGTCTACACATGCTCAATAAAGTATGACCATCATCTTGTAAGTTAACCTTTTACATCATCTTCTACTCTCTCCCCTGTTTTGATGAGGGAAAAAACTAACAAATGTTGGAAGAGCTTCTTTTGGTGACACTGATTGCTTGAGTCACATCTCTGTTCTATGTCCGTTGGAAGCATCAGATTGCTTCCACCAAGACAAACTATACAGCATGTGCTAACAGTGATCAACATGGTTGGCTTCCATTCAGTGTTTTTGGGGTGCCAGTGAACCAGTGAAGGAGTGGGATTTAGAAATTTCACTCATATCCTAACTGACATTTCTCATTCATTGTCTGTATCACTGAAACTAAATTGAGTTCCTATCACATACAATCAGAAAAACTTAGAGACATAAAGACAAGAAACCCAATGACTGTTCTCAGGACTGTCCTGGGAAAACAAAAGAGAGCCATTTTAAGGGGTAAAAAAAATAGAATTTGCCATTTGAAAGGATACAACCGGAAAACACAAGAAAAATCCCATTTCTGCATGAGCCAAGAAGTGACTGGGCAAAAGATTCCCTCTTCTTCATTCCATACATACCCCACACACCAAACTCCCAGGTATTTGGGTGTCTCAAGCTGTCCCCGTCTCCGGATGTTCAAACAGCAGATGGCACAAAGGAAGGCCTCCTGCCGGCTTCTCCAGCGTCTGGGGCCTCACCGGAGCCCTGCAGAAAAGCTCTTCCCTCTGACTCTCTCACTCCACTTTTGCACATCAAATGCAAACTGATCAAATGCAAGATAAAATACAACTCATCTGGAACAAACTACTCCAAAAACAACACAAGAGTATTGTGTTTGTCACCACTTTTTAGAAGCATAATCATATCCTCATTTATAACTTTTTTCATCCAGGTGTTATTGTTATTGTAGAGGAGGTATACAGAGGGGCTACAGTTACACAAGTCAGGTAGTGAGGACATTTCTTTTGGAACAGTGTCACCGCTTCCCTCCTTGTCTCCCAGTTTTCCTTCCTGGCCCCCCTCCTCCATAAGTTGTACAGTTCATTTTCAACATAGTGTCTAGTGAGTACCACTGCTGCACTTGTTCACCCTTTTTCCCACCATTTCTGTGCTTCTCCTTGCCCTCCCCAAATCAGATAGCCTTATATATAAGAGAAAAGGTACCGGAGTGAAAAAAGCAACAAAACAGAAAACAAACAAAAACAAAGCAAAAAAAAAAAAAATACCTCTTTTTCCATTTCCTTGAGTTCATTTCGATCAACATCATTTTATATGATCATATGCACGTAGCTATAGAGCATTTGTGATCCTCTCCCAAGAATATCCTTCTTTGGGCTCACTGTGTGAGTGTTTAGAGTCCTGTATAATTTATCATGTCCATGTGTAAAGGGAAAAATAGTATATAATAAGTTAAGAAAGTTGAATGTAATAGCTCCATGACTCAACCTCAAAAGTCAACTCAAGGGCCCATATTATTTCATCTATTATTCTGTTCTTATCGGTGTAAGATGGATGCATGGTCTAAAAGCAAATCTACCTGACCAGTGTCACCTGCAAAGTGTGATTCTATCTCGGTCCTTCTAATCTGTTCCTTCATTCCTGTAATCTTTTCTTTCTGAGCTCATCATTATATAATCTTGTCTGTGACAGATAAACACATTTTTAAGATGGGCAAATATATTTATATGTAAACTTTCTACATATGCAATTAAATGAGATCTTAATAGGCTTCAAAACATTTTAAACTATTTAGACGGTATGCAGTAGGATTTTTAGTAGATATTCAGGCCAAAATCAAACAAGATACTTTTATGAAAGGGGTAATTTTCATCAAGATGCCTTGTACTTATAAACTGATCAGTTGAATGGTAGCCCCTTTGTAGAACTACTTAAATGTAATAAAACTACTTTTCAAACCAATAAGGTAAAAAAAAAAAGTTCACATATCTTTAAAGAAAGGCATTATTTGAACACTTTACAACATGAAAAATCTCATAGCTGTCATCCAACAGGGACAGGCAAGAGGAGGAACATTGATCAAAAGACTGCAAATTTTGAAAATGCAGACTTTAGACGTGTGGTGGCTCATGCCTATAATCACAACACTTAAAGGCAGAAAGCAGAATGGTGGGTTTGGGGTACACCTGCGCTATATAGCATGGTTAACAGTAACTTGGACTAAGTAGTAGGGCCCTGTCTAAAAAAAAAGAGGGTGGGGGAGTTCAGAGATTTTACGAGAGATTGTGCTGTGAAATGTTAAAGTTGTTCCAGTGCCCTTAGAAAATCTCCAGAGCACATTCCTGTAGTGAACTTCTTAGCATGATTTCAGTTACAAGCCTTCAAATTGATATGCTTTCTCCTAGATCGAATTGCACAAAACATCATCAAGTCCCACCTGGAGACGTGTCAGTACACCATGGAGGAGCTGCACCAGCTGGCATGGCAGACTCACACCTATGAGGAGATTAAGGCGTATCAAAGCAAGGTACTCTGCAACACAACCAGACTCTCCTCTGTAATCCACTCATATCCGCCACCTTCAATCTCAGCCCCAGGGATAGCTTAGTCCACGTCACTCCTGGGTACCATACAGGGCTTAGTGAAAGGCACTGTCTGACTGACCTCCCAGAGATAGTGTGCCTTCCCCACATGGTCTTAATATAGTTAATGCTGGCTTCTTGAGCCCTTGTGCATTAACCTTCTCTAACACACACACACACACACACACACACACACACACACACACACACACACACACACACACACAGAGGAAAGGAAATATTCTAAATTTTTATTCTTGCCCTACCCACTGAAAAGGACACAAGAAATAAAAACTCTCATGCTATTATTAGTGGCAATATTTCTGCATATACAAGGGAGAATTCATAAAGGGAAGTAGTTGCTTCTTGTTTGATGTTCCTATTCCCTGACTTCAGGATTGAAATTCTTAATGATAAGATCAACCAATGAGTGGAATGGGGGGGGGGGGGGAAGGAGTTTTCTTGTGCACCAGTATTGGGACTTGAAATCAGTGCCTGGGCACTGTCCCTGAGCTTCTTTTTGCTCAAAGCTAGTGCCCTACCACTGAATCATACACCACTTCTGGCTTTATCTGAGTAGTGTATTTAAGATGAGAGTCTCACAGACTTTCCTACCCTGGCTGGCTTCAAACCATGATCCCCAGATTTCAGCCTGAGTAGTTAGGATTACAGGTGTGAGCCACTGGCACCCAAGTTCAGTGGAATTTTTAAAAAATCAGATATATAAATATATGTGTATCTAAATGTATGGCTTATATATCATACTGATTTTTCTCTCACAGAACAACAAGCTTTATTACTATTATATAAACATGGATGTGGAGGTAAAGATATTTCTGTGGTGAATAAAAAGCAGAACCCATACAACATGGATTTAAGGTTCTCAGGTCAAATAGAAGAAGCCCAAGAACTAAAATACATTTATATTCTATATTATTCTATAGTATAATGGGAGTAGATGCTATATTATTCTATAGTATAATGGGAGTAGATGCTATATTATTGATGAGAGTGATTTCATTTCAGGGGATGCCCTTTCCTTTGGAAGAATTCTGAGCTTGGCTCCGCTGGCTCACACCTGTAATCCTAGCTACTCAGGAGGCTGAGATCTGAGGATCACAGTTCAAAGCCATCCAGAAAAGGAAAGTCTATGAGACTCTTATCTCCAATGAACTTCCAGAAAACTGGAAGTGGAGCTGTGGCTCAAAGTGATAGAACACTAGCCTTGAAATAAAAGGCTCAAGGACAGTGCCTAGTCCTGAGTTCCAGCTCCACAACCAACCAACCAACAAATAAATAAATAAATAAAATATTAAAGTTTAAAGGCTACCCAGGACCCAAGAAAATGACATTCTTTAAGGCCATGAATGAAATCATGTTTTTATCTAATAGATTAGGAAACTGAATTTGTTTGGGTGAAAAGAAGGAAGAAGTAGTAAAATAAATAACTATTTTAAACAATACTTCAATGGTTGGATGCCAGGCTCCATTGGTAGAGCGCTAGCCAATGAGTGAAAGCCTTAGGTACTGAGTTCAATTCCCAGACTCAGGCCAAAAAGGGAAAGCGTGGGGGGAGAGAGACAGAGAGAGAGAGGGAAGCAATAATACTTCTATTAATTTTGCCTTAGTATTTTGGCAACGGTGGTGTATTGAGATTCAGACAGGTCAGAACATAACCATAAAAGAAAACAACATTGCTCTGAACATTTAACAGAATCACTTAATTTCCCACCTTAGGCCCCAAGTGGCAGGTGAGCCTTGAAGGTATCACTGACTATGTCTTCAACTCTCTGTGGCACTTCTGACTGTTCCCACACTCTGTCTTCTCTCCAGTCCAGGGAAGCTTTGTGGCAGCAGTGTGCCATCCAGATCACTCACGCCATCCAGTACGTGGTTGAGTTTGCAAAGCGGATCACAGGCTTCATGGAGCTCTGTCAGAATGACCAGATTCTACTTCTGAAGTCAGGTGAGCAGAAGTCTCATGGGGCCTTTATTTTAAACCCAAATGTGTTTGATCCTTAGCTTTCTAACAATTCCAGAATCTCCTTCTTCCAACAGGTAGCTAGATCTCATTTTTGCCATCCACATTGTCAGCTAAGTCCCAAAGGAAACTCTTAGTAATAACAATGTCCTGATGCGCATTCATTTTTCCCCCTTTGAAGTCAAATACAGTTTTGCTTATTGAAAGTAGAGCTATTAATTGTGGAGGTTGCGATACCCAGCTTGACGGGCTGTGCAAATAATTAGCGTGTCAAGGTGGCTGAGTTGCTGAGCTGGCACTAAGGCCTGCTCCTTGCCTTCTGTGAAAGGAAACAATTCAGGCTGGCTGAGCGCCGCCACTGTGGTCATTTCCAATCCCTTTAATGAGGATAGCCTGCAGCTATGATGCTCCGGAACTTTACCAACTTCATCTTTCTTCCCTCCCTCCTCCACAAGCACTCACTTTGGAAGTATCCCAAGAAAATCTACATGTAGTTGACTTTGCAGATACCATTCCCTTTCTCAGATTCCTTTGAAAACAGAAATTATGCCCTGTGCCAATGGTTTACACCTATAATTCTAGCTACCCAAGAGGCTGAGATCTGAGGATTCTGGTTTGAAGTCAGACAAGGCAGGAATCTCTAATAAACCAACAAAAAGCTGGAAATGGAGCTGTAGCTTAAGTGGTAAAGGGCCAGTCTAACCAAAAAAGCTATAGATAGTACTCAGGCCCTGAGTTCAAACCCCAGTACAAACAAGAAAGACAGAGACAGCGACGGAGAAAGATGGAAGGAAGGAGGGAAGAAAGGAAGGAAGGAAGGAAGGAAGGAAAGAAAGAAAGAAAGAAATAAAGAAAGAAAGAAAGAAAGAAAGAAAGAAAGAAAGAAAGAAAGAAAGAAAGAAAGAAAGAAAGAAAGAAAGAATACTGTGGTGTATGAGTTACTCTTTGGTCATAGTTCATAGTAATAGTAATAATAATAATCTTTTTACATAAAATAATATGCACACATATTTTCATTTGATATCTCATTTAACCTCATGAGATCATTACTTTCCCATCTTAAAGCAAAGGGAGGCAAGGATTTATAAAAGTAAAAAAAGTAATGTCCAAGTTAGGATACAGTAAAGCCACCAATACAACCATGTTCATTGCAATACTATTCACCATAGCTAAGGTATGATATCAGACCAGATAGCCCTCAATAGACAAATGGATCAAGAAAATGTGATAGATATATATAGACACACACACACACACACACACACACACACACACACACACACACACACAGGAATTTTACTCATCAATTAGAAAGAATGACATTGCATTTGCAAAGGATGTGGAAAGATGGAAGGATGTGGAAAAAATTAAGTGAAGTAAATCAAGCTCAGAAAAACAAAGATTACATGTTTTCTCTCATACAGGAAAACTAGAATTAATTTTTAAATATATAAGTAAATACTTCAGATGGTATGCAAGTGTACCCAAATGTACCAACTGCAATATAGTCCATTCAGGGGAGCTCTCAAATAGTGTAGTTTCTTAGAAAGGTTAAATCCAAGTTCAACAAAATAAACACCAGGAGATAGGTACTTAAGAGGTGGGTGGGTTCAAGGGAAGGGGAACAGACAAATGAAGAAGGAGAGAGAATGCAGTCAAGAATTCAATGTATTCATTAAGAAGAGGGAGGGAAAGGATACCTAGGGGAGGGATGGTTGAGAAGTTTGAAAGGGGTGATATTGATCTAGATCTGTAGTATTCATAAACTGCTTTGTTGAATGACAGATCCGTTGTACAACTACTTAAAGATAATAAAAGTTTTTAAAGGTCTATATTATAAATGCCATACCAATGAAATAGCTTAATGGTTTTTTTTTAAAAAAAGAGAGATTATGATATCAAAAAGCCAATTCATTGCTGGCCTTTGGACTGGAGCTACATACTACAATTATTCTGAGATGTTGCTGTTTCTTTACTCAATGATGCAGACATTTATAACTATGACTCAAGCACTAATTTGAGTGTCATCAGTGATCTAGCTACCTTAAAATTTAGTTAAAACAAGAGTCATTTACTTTGCTGACCAAACTTGGTACAGGTATGGTTTATAATTGCTGCTCCAAGGCCTCTCCAGTGTTCACGGAGGAGACACCCTTGGGAGCCAAATGCTCCATTTTCAAATATCCTTCCTCACATGGCTGGACAGCCGGGAAAGTTGACAGCCTGGAGTTCTGCCAAAGCTCTGGGACTGGGTCTCTATTGCTCTCCACGTGGGTCCAAGTCTGCCTCGAGTTCCTCCAGCAGAATCACTGGGCTTCCCAAAGCACAGGCAGAAGTCTGTAGACTTCTCTCAGTTGTCTCAGAAGTCACATGCTGTTTCTTCCACCACACATCTCAGTCAGCGGACTCACAAAGTCCAGCTTGGGTTCAAGAGTAGCAGACACAGATTCGACTTTCCCCATGGAAGCAGAGAAAGGCCTAGCAAAGCATGTGACATGGAAGCTACTTTTTCATTTAATTTTATTGTCAAAGTGAGGTACAGAGGGCTTACAGTTCCATACGCAAGGCAGTGAGTACATTTCTTGTCAAACATTGTTACCCTCTTCCTCCTTTTTCTCCCACTTTCCCTCCCCCACAACCCCTTCCCAGGCTGTAAAGTTCACTTCCAATGTATTGTTGCAGTGGTTCACCCTTTGCCCTCTGTCTCACCATTTTGTTGTTCCCTTTCCCTTCTCCAAACCAGATAAACATATATACAAAACACAGAGAATCAAAATCCACTACAGTGACCACAGGAGATAAACCATGGGGGACAAGAACAATGAAAGAAAAAGAAAAAAAGAAATAACTTCACATAGTACACCAAAAGCAATAACACCAAAGAAAAACCTTTTGCTTCCATATCTTGGAGATCATTTTGCTTAGCATCATCTTATGGTCATACCAGTCTTTTCCAGGTCAGGCTGGATAAGATTTTACAAGTCTATGTATTACAGAAAGAATGTCACCCAAGAGTCTTAGGTTTTGCAAATGCAAAGCAGTCGTTCACCAGCAGTCCACTGTGAGTGATGGAGTCAGGCAGGAGTCCAGTCTACTTGGACCACGGTGGACATAGTCAGAAGGGTCCAGGCAGGAGGAATCTGGGGTAAGCTGCAGTCTCCCAGCCTGCTTTGGATGGACTGTCACCCCTCCTGCTGGGAGGTCTGCATATTTCCACACAGACTGGCTAAAGACATTTGAAATTTCCCAGTACTTTCCTGGTTGCTTTCTCTGAGTGCACTGGCTTCCACAGATACACTTTAGCTGGCTATAAAGAACAACAAGCTGGTTTTACAACAGTGTTTAAATTACAGTAACTTAACTACCTACCAATTTTAATAGGCTTTTTCTTGTAAAAACTTAAGACCTGCTCATACCATCTGCTACCCACTAGAACCTTCTGGGGTTTGTATTAATTTCTATCTTTTTTCCATTTTGGAACAAACTTTTCAGACAATTCCTACTTCCCAAATCCTTTCTTATCCAAAGGAAACCTTTTTTTCCCCTCAATTTCCTTTTTCCAAGGCTTTCTTCACTAAAATTCCTCTTCCTTTACATTTCCTTAACTCCTTGCTGACTTTTTAAATTGCATTTTGAATTAACTCCTAGAAAACTTTTGAACTCAAATGACAGTGTTTCTTAATGTGAGGTAATAATCCTTAGACACATTTTTTTGCAAGCCAATATTTCCCATTTGGTTTTAAAGAGGGGAGAGCAGGAACATTCCATGTAGATTGGCGGGCACTGAACTAGGAGTCCACACTGAAAAAACTTGAGGAATCTCAGACCATTTTTCTTCTTTTACATAAAACATCTAATTGCAAAATAGTATTGGAACTTAAAGTTCCATTTTAGGCCATGGTACACATGCTAACTTACATTGAGACCAAATTAAATTACACACAGAGAATGAACAAAAGAAACCTTCAATAGTGGGGAGGATTGAAATTAGAAAAACTTTAAGTCCTCAAGAGGCTTATATTTTGCTAAGCCAAATGACTTGATTACAGTGCCAGATAACAAGTTTACACAGACACAGACATACAGACACAGACATACAGACACAGGCACATGCGTGTGCTCATGCACACATACACGCACTGTGCACATAGGCTTTACAGCACGCAAAATATTGGCCATAGATTCTTGGGATTCCAGCAGCAAAATGACATTATTTTGGCCAATATTTTATGAAACATGTGGTCAGTGCCAGAATAAGCAACACAATACAAGGCAAAACTCAAAACCCCAAATTTTTGATGATGGAGCAAGTTCAGACACCTTTGCTAAGAAAGCACATGAGCTGGCTGGGCCTCAGTTTCCAAGGCCTGTGACAAGAGGAAGCTTCGTTTGCAAGGCACATTATCATGATGGTGTTGGAGTTTCTTAAAGTAAGTAAACGAGCAAGCAGACAGGCAAGAGAGGGAGAGAGGGAAAGGAAGAGGAAGAGAGGAAAGAGAAAGAGGGGAGAGAAAGGAAGAGAGAGATATCTGAGAGGCCATGAGTCAAGAGATGGGCAGAGAGAATAGGTGTGATAGAGATGGCTAGAAGGCTTAGGAGACAGGAGACAGAGAGAAAGAGGCACGAGACAAAAAAGGACAGGAGAAAAATAAAATCGGCCCCACTTCGTAAGACCTTAAATGAACCTTCTAGATGGTAGCTTCCTCGTCTGTGCAATAAAGACATGATCTAGAAATAATAAGTTCTCAAATTAAAATAGCATTCAGAAGCAGCAAAAGAGTTTATTGACAACTCAGAAAATCAGACACAGCACAGACCATCGACTTCACATCTATCCGAGAGAGTCCATTCATTATACTCCTAAGACTCAAATATCACTGACCACTGGTGGGCCCTGCATTGCAACAAGGAGATGTACAAGACATCATGTCGAAAACGAACAATGCTTGATAAGAAATGTACTCATGACCTTGCTCGTGTCATTGTAACCCCTCTGTATGGTATTTTCACAATTAACCAAAAAACCAAATTCATAATCTTTAACACCTCTGTTTGCAGCAAAAATATTAGCTGCTAGTCAGGCATTAGTGGCTCATTGCTGTAATCCTAGCTATTCAGGAGGCTGAGACCTGAAGATAATGGTTCCAAGCCAGCCTGAGCAGGAAAGATCTACAATTAACCACCAAAAAAATAAAACAGAAGTGGAACTGTGGTTCAAAGTGGTAGAGTCCTGACTTTGAGCACAAAAGCTCAGGGACCATGCTGAGGCCTGAGTTCAAGCCCCAAGATGGGCACACACACACACACACACACACACACACACACACACGCACAAATGGCTAATAAAAGTCACGTAAAATGATTATTGCAAGGAATAAATAAAATAATGAATGTAAGGGGCAAAGCTTTCCATAGTGTAGATACACCAGTGAATGGTGTCTCTCTGTTGAAGTCAGAAAAGTGTTATTTCAGTTCTTCTTTGCAAATCCTCTCCTATGTATAATCCTATATACCAGAGAAAGAAACTGGCAGAGCAAAGGAAGTAAAACAGAGACATGAATATAAATTAGTGGCATAAGAGAAGCAGCAAAGAAGTAGTTTAATCACCAGTAGGATACCCACATGGAATCCATCATGTTGCAGTAACAATGGGACAATAGCCAATTCCTCCAAAATGTGAAGAAACTATACAGCAGTAGTTGCTCAAAATGCCAATAACTGTCGGGAGGGAGAAAAAATAGATACGTACAGTCATTCGATAAATATTTTTAAGCATGTCCTATACACCAGAGAGCTTTCTTAGTGGCAGAGATGTTGCAGTGCACGCTCTGGCTGTAAATAGCTGCTCTCATTTGGCTGGTAGTGAACACAAGCGAAGAAAAAAAAATCGAGAAAGCTTGATTCACCACGGTTAATCACGTCCTTCAGGTCAGGACTTCTCAGAGCCTTTGATCTATAAATATTGGTTATCATTCTCTGCAGTGAGATCATTCAGTATTGGTCAAAACACATTTGACTAAGAAACCTGAATTTCAAAGCGTCTCCAAGGCGAGTGAGGCTTCCAGGGAATACCCCCAAAAGTCCTGTGTCTATTGCCATCCCCTGCTGAAATATGCAAGTTTGTGAGAAACTCCATGCAGCAAAGAAGCAGAAAGCAGGGGTCCCAGAAGCAAACCCTTTACAAAAGTTAACAGGCAGACCATTCAGCTGAGCCATTTATCACCTTTCTGAGCCCATGTATCATCCATTGTGAAATGGTGACATTCATCAACATGCATTTTGCTTATAAAATGGCATGCTAAATGGAAACATTTTTTGGAGGGGGAGTCCAGTCATGGGGCCTGAACTCTGGGCCTGGGTGCTGTCCCTCAGCTCTTCAGCTCAAGGCTAGCGCTCTACCACTTGAGCCACAGCACCACTCACAGCTTTTTTCTTTTTGCTTATGTGGTGCTGAGGAATTGAACCCAGGGCCTCAGGCATGCAAGGCAAGTGCTCTACCACTGAGCCACCCTCCCAGCCCCATGGAAACATCTTTGTACAGTACTAAAATATATTAAAAAAAAAAAAAAAAAAAAGGAATTGAACATTAGTCAAAAACAGAAATGTTTTCCTGACCAACCTAGAAAAAATATGATGTTAAGTGAAATAATTCAGGCTCAGAAAGACAAAGTCTATGTGTTTCCTCTTAAGTGGAAGTTAGAGCTAAATTATAAACATGCATGAATATATATACACACAGAGTCATATGCATATGTACAGAAACATATTGTCTAAAGTATGGTATTTTCATGGGAGGAATACAATGGTATAATTCCTTCATACAACTAGGAAATAAATACCAGGAAGCTGAAATATGAGTTGGAGGAGGAGGAGGAGGTCAAGGGATGGGCTGAGGCGGGGGAAGGCAGACAAACGGAGAGAAGAAAGGTGGGTGGATGCAATCGTAATATTCAATGTGTGTATGGTGAACATAGGACCAGGTAAATTGAGGGGATATGGGGGAGGGGAATTGAGAGATAAGGGGGAGGACAATCAAGGGGTGACATTGATTCAGATGCATTGTACTCACAAACTGTTATGTTGAATTGAAACCCCTTTGTACAACTAGATAGATAGATAGTCTCTCCTGACCAGTGTCATTGTGCCTTCCACTTCTGTCAGCTTTAAGGTAGATTTTCTCTTTAATTCTTTACCTAAGTATCAAGACAGCTTTATTTCTAAAACAGAGCTTTATGGGGAGAAACGGAGAAGTCTCAGTGCCTTTCTCTCCCTCCCTTTGTTCTATGCCTCTGTTCCCTCCCTCTCTCTCCCTCCCTCTCTGTCTCCCTCCCTCTCTCTCTCTCTCTCTCTCCCTTCCTCTCTCTCTCCCTCCTTCCTTCTCTCTCCCTCTTGCCTTATATGCACCAATGACCACTTTATTACTGGGTATATATACGTGTTTTTGATCTGTTTAACCCCTAGGTTGTTTGGAAGTGGTTTTGGTGAGAATGTGCCGTGCCTTCAATCCATTAAACAACACTGTCCTGTTTGAAGGAAAATATGGAGGAATGCAAATGTTCAAAGCCTTAGGTAAGTTTTCCCTTGATGATGACACAATTAGCTACCATCTGCTTCTCCACTTAGGCTGAAATCGCCAAATGAAATGCCTTGATTCCTTGATATGAACTAGTATCTCATTACTGAATTAGAGATGGACGAGGTAGGCCTCCAATATATCATTTAACTCTATGGATCCTAAAAGTGTGGCTTCTAATCAGAAAGGAAAAAAAAGAGACATGTAAATAAGCAAACCCTGTTGCTCAAATAACTGGCACTGCGTGGTAGGTCATTCATTGTACGATCAATTTTTCTTGGCTATTTGTGTTTGTTGAGGTTATTTTTTTCTCTTTTCTTTCTTTCTTTTTTTTATTGTGCTGGTACTAGGGCTTGAACTTGGGGCCTGGGTGCTGTCCCTTAGTTTTTTTGGCTCAAGGCTGATGTTCTACCGCTTGAGTCATAGCTCTACATCTGGATTTTTGGTGGTTAAATAGAAATAAGAGTCTTAGGGGCTTCCCTGCCCAGTCCTCATATCTCAGCCTCTTGAACAGTTAGAAGTACATGCATGAGCACCAGTATCTGGCATCTGGTATGTATTTTGTGACATCACACCAAGTAGCCCATGCTAGCCTTGAGGTTTTCCGTGAGGTCAGGAAGTTCACACAAACGGAACTTGATTGGACATGTTCGGTGTGATCCTCTATAGTCTGCAGTGCATCGTGCTTAGACAGAATGACAGCAAAAATGGTCCAAGGCCAGGAAAGGTTTTAGTGTTTGATTAGTCCATTTGCTCCATATCCTGCTCATGGACACCGAAGAAGCCACTGCCCTTTGACCTCTTGTGCTGTTAGCTGATCTGGCCACCAGCAGCCAAGCCACTGGGCCTGGTGATGCTCCCTTCCGCAGCTGATACACATCCATGTCATCCTAGACTTTCAGGAATGGCGGAAAAGTCTTGGCAAGCAAACTCAGTATATTTCCAGCCTCATCAAATAAACATCAACCAGGGATCAGTGTTATTTTTGCCAGAATTCACAATGCCTAAGCAACCGCCCGGTGAGCATCATTCATTCGAAGGTAGAGATAAATCACTTCTACCGCCCTCAAAAAATGTAAAGGGAACTCACCAGATGGAACCATAGCTCAATCTGTAAGAAGCCTTTCTACAACTCGGTTTGAAGCCCCTGGAAACCTTGTACCACTAATACCAGTAGTCCTCAGCCTCCATGTGTACTGTTTTAGGTTTTCTGTGAAGGCTAGCTCTGTTCCCATTTACTCAAATGCTTTACCTGGAAATTCCATCAGATACGCCCAGCCAGATATTACCCTGAAAACTGACTATGTCTGCACCTTAATCACTAAAGCTAACTTCAGACCCAGATCCGAGGTTGTGCTCCATTTCCTCCTTCTGGAATTCACCTCCAAACACATTCTTATGGCTAAGAGCTTCAGAAATGTCTTTGCTAGATATCTAGTATGAAAAAAATCTGTGACTAACGTATTGATAGTAAGACTTTTCTTACTGTTGCTCTAATTCCAAGTATTTCCGGCTAATTGTTCTTCTTCTTTTATAGGTTCTGATGACCTAGTGAATGAAGCATTTGACTTTGCAAAGAATCTGTGTTCCTTGCAGCTGACTGAGGAGGAGATTGCTTTGTTCTCCTCTGCTGTTCTGATATCTCCAGGTAGGGGGACCATGGGTCTCTTACCTTCTTTCAAAACCTGCTTTACTATCTTTAACATCAATTACACCCACCCACGCCAAAGTGTTCAGGAGAAACTTTAAAAGAACTCTATTTTCTCTAGAAAGCTTTTGATATTTTTGGACAATGTCAAGGGAAGTAACCTCAAGTTTATCAAAATGACCAGTTTTGCTCCAAAGCAAAAGGGGAGTATGTGCTAGGGATGGCTTCAGACCCCAATGAACCCAATTGTTCCTGAATAAGCAAGCAAAGACCGATGGCCTAAGTAACAGCTAAGTAAGGTTCCTCTGTTTGACTTTAAGAATAAAGGACAGAAAACTGGGTGCTGGCGGATCATGCTTGTAATCCTAGCTATTCAGGAGGCTGAGATTTTCGGATTGTGGTTTAGAGCCAGCCTGAGAAAACAAATATAAGAAACTCTTATCTCCAATTAGCTGGCAAAAAGCCAGAAGTGGAGCTGTAGAACACCAGCCTTGAGTGAAATAGCTAAGGGACAGTACCCAGGTCTGAGTTTAAGCCTCAGTACCAGCATAAGAAAGAGAAGGAAGGGAAGGGAAAGGAAGGAAGAGAAGAGAAAGAAAGAAAGAGAAGAGAAAAAAAGAAAGAAAGAAAGAGAGAAAGAGAGAGAGAGGAGAGAGAGAGAGAGAGAGGGAAGGAAGGAAGGAAGGAAGGAAGGAAGGAAGGAAGGAAGGAAGGAAGGAAGGAAGGAAGGAAGGAAGGAAGGAAGGAAGGAAGAAGTCCAGGGTGAAAAGAGTGAAAGTTGTCAAAATATATCTAAACGAAAGACCAAGCAGAGACACCAAAGTTATACTTTCTCCTCGTACATTACCTTTTTTATTTTGCTTTTCTATCCAAATTACTGTTAAAATCCTCACTTCAGCAAATGCTCTGCCTCTTTTCTCAGCTACCCAAAAAAGGAAAGGCAGCTGGTGGAGAAAATGGCTCCTATAATGAGGTGTCTGGGGCAACAAGAAGAATTTCAGACATAGATCTCCTAGCACCACCTTTGCCATCAGTGATCTGTGTGCCCTTCAACAAGACCCCTCAAAGCCACAGTTTCCTCATCTATAAAATAAGGCAATTGCACTCCATAACAGCAGCGGCCTCCTCCACCTCTGAAATGCGATAAAATGCCCCCAAACCCACAATTTTCAAAGAAATTAAGATACGTCATGTACAGATAAAATACTTTTTAAAGTATAAGCTAGCCTAAAATTAATAGCAATGCAACATTATAATCATAGTAATATAATTAAAATATTATGATAATAAATTTGCACTCCGCCTTCAACCAGAATGGGAATTCAGAGCCACTCTCTCAGAGCTGTGTATTTGACTAGGTAGCAGCCATGTTGACAGCTCTCTACTGAAAGAAGAATGCATCCCTGTCTGATTTTTAAGGTCAGGAGATACATTCCTTCCATAACCCATTTATCTAAGGAGTGACTCTCTTTTCCAATACCCTAACATATTTTTTCAGTGAGGTTGGAAGACATCATTCTTATGAGTGATGTAAGATTTCATCTAGGATCTGTGACATGTCATTCGAGTTACACTTACCCATAAAATAAATCTCTGCACTTTCTTGCCAGTAGGCTCTACGGCTCTCAGAAGGATCCAGGATAGTTTTATCTGGATGTTAGATTTCTACTTTTATTTTTATTTAACTACTTTATCAAAAATGGAAATTAGTAGTCCTGGGAAGTAGTTTTGTTAACAGTTTCTTTTATGGCTGTATATAAAACCAGGGCTGTTCTTCTGAACTTTATTATATACATGTGCATATGTGTATGTATGTATATACACGTGTGTGTGTGTGTGTGTGTGTGTGTGTGTGTGTGTGCTCTAGAAAATTTCCCCCACCTGAAAGCATAAAGATAGATAAAAAAGTGATGAGAAATACATTTTTTATGATAACAACATAGGCCAAATCGCTCCTTGAATTTGATTGTTTCTACTGAGCTAGTTCAATAGAAGACTAACTCTAAGCCTATGGGTCTATAAATGAGGGCAGTGTTTTTCCTCTAGTTCCTAGTTGCTCAATGGAACAGCTTCACAAAGAACTGCTCTCTCTTTTCTCCTTTTCTTGGTGGGGGTTCATGTTTGTGTAAGTCAACAAATCCTAGCTGCAAATGCTGAAGACATCACCTATCAAACATGAACGAGCTGTGGAAATGACAGCCCCAGATGGAAGACTAGCTTGGGCTTCATGAATTAGACATCAGCTGAGTTGTTTTCCTTTTTCTTGAAAGAATCGGCCATCATCAAAGCTTGCAGAATGTGCAAGTATGAAATGTGACTTGTTCAGCCTAGAGGGGAATACTTTAGCCCTGTAGATCCACCAGACCGACATTCAGAGGCTTCACCGCTCGACATACTCTTGTTGGCCATTCTACTTTAATGCCATGCTCAAAAGGAGAAAGAAGAAAGACAGACTTGCAGCCTGTGTCCGTCTCTGGCCAGACACTGACCTCCCCCGGGCTCCTGACTTAACAGCTACTATCTATTCCCCTCCACATAGCTGAGGGAAGGGAGACGGAAGGATGCTTAATTTATTCTGATTGACAATTGTCACTGGGGCCTTTGTGCTCACTTACGTAAGGGTTCGCTTAACTCTTGGTTAGACTGGCCCTTCTCCTATCTAGGATTACAGAATTGGGTTTCTCACCTGACCTGAACTGGGTTTGAGAGGCTCGTGTCCACGTTCTTTTCCACGAGTACTTGTCCAGTGTTTGGAGACTCTAGTTGACTCTTCATTGAAACATCTAACTAAGGCATGAGTACTAACTAGCCTGCCTTTTGTCACCATGGTTCATAAAGCTTTTAGGCAGAAAGGAAAGAAGAGTAGGGAGTAAACGAAGGAGTCAGGGAAGTGAGAGGCGGGAGGAAAGATTCTTCTATCCACTAGTTTGAAAATTAGTATATAAAATTAAGACTGGAGTACAGTTTTAGAAAATGACTCATGTTTATGCTATCTAAAGTAAGACAAAGCTCCAGCTTTGTGTCTGATGAAAGAATAAGTTGAGGGAGAATAAAAAAAAGCAAAGGAGTCCATCAAACCACCAATATTGTTGTAGAATAGACTTTTCCTCCACCATAATTTATTTCCTTTGCAAATCAGTAATTTCTACTTTGAAAGAAAACACAAGCATGTCTCCCACAATAAGAGAGCTAAAATTCCCACAGACAGAAATGAAGGTGTTTGTTTGAACCAACAGTGTCCATTTCTCCAGATGCCCACAGCATTCACTTGTGACCTTATATGATTTGATCTTGGCACCTTCTATTTTTTGTTTATGAAATATTTATGTTTCCTATGAATTATTACATCACTTTAGGAGCAATTTAGAACTGAAAAGTTAGAAATAAGTTTGAAGCCCAGTGCTTAACGGCTGAAATAAAACAAAGGTCTCTGCCCTGTCTTCCTCTTTCTTATCCTTTGCTTTTTTAAACTTCTTTGTTAGACCGAGCCTGGCTGATAGAACCGAGGAAGGTCCAGAAGCTTCAGGAAAAAATTTATTTTGCACTTCAACATGTGATCCAGAAGAATCACCTGGATGATGAGACATTGGCAAAGGTAGGTCCTTAGACCATATTGTCCTGTCATCCCAAAGGCGGGGAATCAAGGGACACTTGTTCTGGAACAAGCAGAACTTGTCAGTATTAGCATTTCCCCAGAGTGACCAGAGCTGTGCCCTGGTATAGTGAGATGGAATTCCAATAGATGGTGGGACAAAGGGTTTGCTTAGAGTAGGGAACCAGAGCTGAACCCAGGGCACAACAGAGGAATCTAAAGAACCGCAAGTGTTTCATGGCCTCCCTAAAGCCTGAAGCAGGCAAAGAAGTCTTCAGAATGCATACGTGAGAAATCAGAGATTTGTGCCAATGCTGCAGCCAGGTATGGACAAACGTGAAGAGCCCTCTGATTTCTATTCACAATTCAGAGGACGGATTCAATGCTAAGACTTGTGAGCGACGCGGCAGTGAGCGTGTGAAGTAGTGACCCTCTTGTCACGGGCCGCATGCTAGCAGATTCTGCCCGTCACGTCTCACGTATGTATAGAAACAATCCTACAGAGGCAGGATTGCACTGATGACTCACACATCTCCCTTCAGTTCTAATCTGCTCGTGATAGACTTGAGATGCTTTCAGCATGGTAAAGTATCCTAGAGCTTAATTCAAAGTGATACTCTCTCAAAAGAAGACAGGCTGGAGGTTGGTGTCTCACCCCTGTAATCTTAGGCTGAAATCTGAGGTTTCCAGTTCATAACTAGCCTGGGCAGGAAAGTCCATGAGACTCTTATCTCCAATTAATCATCAAAAGCAAGAAGTGGAGCCCTAATGGTAGCGTGTGAGCTTTAGGTGAAAAAACTAAGAGACCACACCTGAGTTTGAACTCAAGTACTGGCAGGCACACACACACACACACAAACACACACACACACACACACACACACACACACACACGCACACACACACACAATACTGAGAAAAGTTATTAACATAATCAGAAAAGGAAGAAGTAATTGTCAATGGTTACTATTCAGCATTGTTTTAACTCTGAAAGTTTTTGATTTCATAAGAACCAGAATGTTTTGAGGAACAACATTGTTTTAAGTTTTAAACTGTCTCTGATTTCTTAAGAACTGGATGTTTTTGAGGACCAGAGACTAAGAAATGAGTTTGTTCTTGGTTAAAGATAATAGGAATCCTACTTTATATATTTTTATCATTAAGCTCTCCCACTCTTCCTTGGAGGTTCTTTATTTTAAAAGAGAGGGAGAGGAAAGACTTCATTTGAAGACATCATCAGATTTTACATTGCACATGTCCTGGACTGATATTTATTTTAAAAAACAACTCTCCATGAGTTAAAAGTGCTGCTTCATTATGGCAATGTTTTGTTAAAATTAATGCAGCACTAGGAAGAACATTGCTACACTCACCATTCAGAAATCATTCTCAAAAAAGCCTGAAGTGGAGCTGTGGCTCAAGTAGTAGAGCACTTGCTTGGAGCAAAAAAAAAAAAAAAAAAAGAAGCTCAAGAACAGTGCCCGGGCCCAGAGTTCAAGCCTTAGGACTGGCAAAAAATAGAAAGAAAGAAAAAATAAAAAGCCAGGCACTGGTGGCTCACACCTGTAGTCCTATCCAATTAACCACCAGAAAACCTGAAGTGGTGCTGTGACTCAAATGGTAGAGCACTTGCCTTGAGCCGAAGAGCTCAAGCCCCATGACAGACAAAGATTAAACAACAACAACAAAAACACCTAACATAATCATCGTATAAGGAGAAAAGCTTGATTTGGGCTTTAGGTCTCAACGATTTCAGTGCATACTCAGTTAATTCCACTGCTTTTGGTGTTTTGTTTGTTTGCTTGTTTTTGTCTGCCAGTGCAGGGGCTTGAACTCAGGGCCTAGATTCTACAACTGGCACTTTACCACTTGAATCACACCTGCACTTCCAGCTTCTTAGTGGTTAATCAGAGAACAGGGTCTCATAGCGTTTCCTGTCTAGATTGGCTTTGAACCATGATCCTCAGATCTCAGTCTCCTGCATAGCTAAGGTTACAGGTGTGAGCCACTGATGCCTGGCCTTGCTCCATGGTGGGGTCTGTGGTGAAGCACAGCATCATGGTCAAGAGCATATGATAGAACAAGGCTGCTGATCTCATGGCTGCCAGGAAGGAGAGAGAGAGAGAGAGAGAAGAGAGAAGAGCAAGAGTACAAATAGCCCCTTCAAAGAGCACAATCCCAATAACCCAACTTTCTTCCACTGGGCCATATTCCATAAAGGCTCTACCACCTCCTAACAGCACCTCAAGCTTCTGACCAAAGTTTAGCACACATATCCCCAGGGAACACTTAAAATGCAATTGATCAAAGATAAGCTCTCATCAAACTCTCAAAATCAGTAGTTTTATTTATGTCTGAAAGAAATTGTTCAGCCTTCCACAGATTCTCTCATCTACTTAGAAATGCTTCTAGAACTTCATAGTCATGAAGTTTTTCTCCCTGATTGGATTTGACTGGTGATCTTTATCTAGTAGCTACAATGACAGACTTGAAGGAAGTGTCCTGGAGACTACTCTCCCAGGAACAAATTCAGAGACAATGTGAGCCTTGTGCTTGCTTCATCCTTCTGTCTATTTTACCTGTTCATGGTCAAATTGACCACTGGCAAAAGGATACTTCCCATACACACAGTTCTTGACATTAAAACTTATACCAAGCACAGGTATAAGGTATATCAGTATGTCCTCATAACTACACAAGAGACTGAGAATGAAGGATCGTAGGTAGAAGCCAACCAGGGAAAAAAGGTCTGTGGGACTCTTATCTCCAGTTAATCAGTAAAAAATAAAAAAAGCAATAAGTGGAGGAGTAGCTCAAGTGGTAGAATGATGGCCTTAAGTGAAACACAAAGCGCTGAGTTTAAAACCCCAGGAACAGCACAAGAAGAAAGAAAGAAAGAAAGAAAGAAAGAAAGAAAGAAAGAAAGAAAGAAAGAAAGAAAGAAAGAAAGAAAGAAAGAAAGAAAGAAAGGAAGGAAGGAAGGAAGGAAGGAAGGAAGGAAGGAAGGAAGGAAGGAAACAAAGAAAGAAAGGAGGGAGGGAGGGAGGGAGGGGAGGGAGGGAGGGAGGAGGGAGGGAGGGAGGGAGGGAAGGAGGAAGGGAGGGGAGGGAGAGAAAGAGCAAGAGAAAGAAATGAAAGGAAGAAAGAGGAAGGAAGGAAGGAAGGAAGGAAGGAAGGAAGGAAGGAAGGAAGGAAGGAAGGAAGGAAGGAAGGAAGGGAGGGAGGGAGGGAGGGAGGGAGGGAGGGAAGGAGGGAGGGAGGAAGGGAGGGAGGGAGAGAGGGAGGGAAAGAGAGAAAGAGAGATAAAAGAAATCAAAGTTCATGTAGCAATACTTTATATTGTTACCTAAACTTTAACCTAGGAGGTTCTGAAATGCAGTTATCCTATATCCATTACCTAGAAAATTTCAGTTCCTCTTTATTAATCAGCTGATGTGTTTTGTTGTTTTGAGGGTACTGGGGACTAGGGAAAATCTATGGAAGCATCTAGCTTCCTGGTCTGCCTAATGATGATGCAAATGTTCAGAGTCACTTACGAGTTCAGAGCCCTGAACACAGGATTTAAACTGTGTCTTCATTTCCTCATTTGCACAGTATGACTTAAGCAAACGTGATTACTTGGAGGACTAAATGTGATTTTAAAATGTATGAAAACTTCCCACTGGATAGGAGGAAATAAATAAGTATCATTGCCTCATTAGAGAAATCGTTAGCGTTGACAGAAGAAGTTTCTTTCCGTTAGGAAGGTGATCGATGGGGGCCAGCTCTGAAGGGTTTTCCAGGGATGGGAGTTGGAAGGTGGAGGAGCTGAAGCACATGGAGATGGTCGGAGGCAGGAAGGAGACTCTAGGGTAGATTCAGACTATGAATAATCATTTGGCTGGATTTGGGCTTGGAGGAAACAGGAAATGAGTTAACATTGGTCATTTCCCTAACACTCTGGGTAAAAAAATATATACGTCTATATTTTTAAGCCCCATATGACTAGAGAGAGGCAGTCCGTCTGTTCTCTGGGCTTCATTTTTTTTTTTGTCTAGAAAGTGAGTGGGTTGGACTGCCTGGTCTTTAAGGTCCCTTTTGTAGAACATTCTTTGATGTCAAAAAAACAAAAACAAAAAAAAGATTGCTTCTGACATCTTCTTTTGCCCTCCAATATTCAGTCCTGGGTGATTATTTTGATGTCTCTTCTTTAGATGGTTTCCCATCATGATAAATGAAGAGAAAGTTTCACCTCACCACACCTTACAGATTTAAATTAGAGGTAGTGCCCTGGGCCCCAGAGTCATGTAGTTTAAGGTGCTCTCCATCCTCAAAGCTGCAAACGTGCGGTGTGGATTAAGCCCAGGAGAGCAGACCAGAGGTGCTTCATCGCCTCGTGCACCGAGAGCTGCCATAACTCCTTTTCATGGTGCTCTTTCTTCCCACAATGCTATTGGGGTAAAGCAAAGGGTGGGAGATCAGCAGGGAAGATGTAAACTATAAAGGCCGTGCAATGGTGTTTCGCACTTGTAACCCTAGCTACTCAGGAGGTCTGAAGAATCAAGCTTCAAAGATAGCCTGGTCAGGAAAGTCTATGCCATTCTTATCTCCAATTAATCATCAAAAAGGCAAAAGTAGAGCTGTGGCTCAAATGGTAGAGCTCCAGCCTTGAGCAGAAATAAAAAAAAAAAAGCTAAGGGATAGCATGTAGGCCCTGAGTTCAAGTCCCAGTAAACACACACACACACACAGAAAACTATGCCCTTCTGGTCGACCTGACTAATGGACCAGAAGAGGAAGTGATCAGCCCAGCCAGGACCCGGATGTAACCACGTACTCACAGCCAAGGCAAAGCTTGGATCTGTATCTTGCTCTCAGGAGCATGTCGCCAGCTCTTTTTCTGAGATAGTCTCTAAGTCAGCCTCCTAGCTGGAGGAAAGTTTGATGTGGGATCCACCCCAACCTCTCCTTTGGTGCCTCTTGGGGAATTAGAGTCATAAAATACATATTTATATTTACTTAGT